TTAGATAAAAAATGCAAAAAACCGGAAATTTGAATTTCAAAGCTATGTAACAAATCAAATATTGAAAATAGAAATTCCTGGATTTCTGTTACGTGAATGTTGGAACGCTTCATGTAATAATTATCCGTAACTCCTATTCTTTCCTGCTTCACAGCATTATTTATATTTGTTTTATATTTTTTGCTTTATATCCTTGCTGCGCAAGGATGACACGCAAAATCGTGAAGCGTTCCACATTTTTTTAACAAATATAAATAATGCTGTGAAGTGGGAAAGAATAGGAGTTACGGATAATTTATTACGTGAAGCGTTCCAACATTCACGTAACAGGATATTTTGGTAGGAAAGGATTGAGAAAGGATTGTGGAATAAGTTTTTCAAACAGTACAGCATCACCGTTTGCAACATAAACTGTGTACTAAATCAGCTTACAGCGTAAAGAAAATAGTGTAAAATATTTAATTTATCGTATTTGATCATACATGTAGTTTAGTTCAAAGTTACATAGACCTGATATCTTAGTAATTTATTTAAAAATAAAAAAACTTCAGAAAAAAACAATTAAAAATTTTTTTCGTTGAATTTGCAACTCAATCAATAAGTAATTACTAATTATAGTTATGATACGGATAGAAAAATCAATATTTTTTAAGATTTGATTCAACATTTTGTGGAAATTCAATGGTACGTAAACTTCAATGACTAATATCTCAGAAAATATCGATCTTAGTGATTTGGTGCTTAGGACCTTTTTTGTAGAGAATTGAATTGAATTTCCGACAAAATTATCATTTACATTTTTTTTGTATGTCTTGTTGTTTATGAGATAATGAGTGAAATCACAAGAATTCTAAGAAAAATTCGGTTTGGTGGTCCGTACTACCCCGCCAGTATGAGTTACGACTTCGCGACAATGGACACTTTTGTAGAGCATTCGATTCTAAAAAAACCCGTCCATGGTCAAAGCGATGCTATGAAATGCCACTGAGCTATAGAAATTTAAAAAAAAAAATCAAAGTTCTCGTATATTTCAAATGGGAAATCTTCACACGTTGTGTAGGAGTACTTAATATTAATATTAAGGGCTCAAACTTTCAGGGAATTTTTTTGGGTGTATTTCCAACAAAATTTCGGGATGGAAACGAAAAAAAAAAAATAGTCGCAAAAAAAAAAGCACCCTAATATATATGTACATATAAAAATTTAAAAAAAAAGATTTTTAAATTTTTTTAAAAAGAAGTTTTGTAAATTATATATATGAAACAAAAAATTTGATGTGAACAAAAGAAATTATTCAGGCAAGAATAGAAATTCTTGAGTTGATGATTTATATGAAAAGAAAAAAAATTTTATAAAATTTTAAGAATTTTTAAATAAAACTTAAATTTTGTTTTTAAGAAAGAAATTTAAACATGTCAAAATTGAATAATGTTAAACTTGAATTTATTTAAACAGGTAAATTTACTTGATTTTAATAAAAATAGATTTGAAAAGAAAAATTTGAAGAAAATATAAAAAAAATTACAAATTTTCTCAAGCGAAAGTTAAATAATTTCGTATTCGAAATCCTACCGCTGCCACCAGTGTTCTTTATGATATGTCCAAGGGCGTTTTTAGAGCGGTAGCGTAAACGGCGGAGGTTTGGACAAACAGTTTAAAGAATACTCAGCGGAGTTTTTAATTCCGTTGTTTTAATTTTTGATGTGGGACGTTTTCGATGTACGAATTTACCATGCCTTCGTTTGAGACTGAGCACGGATTTTTATTGAGTATAGATGTACTTACTACTTGCAGGATTATTTCTGATTACCGGATCCGTGATTCCGGGGCTGCTGTTAGCGCCTTTTCCTTGAATGGGCCCTCTGGTTGGTCCTTGCAGCGGATGGAATTGGATGGATTAGGGCTGCTTACTCTTAAGGGCTCCTTATTTTATGAAATGAACTAATTCGAACAAAATTTCACTTCTTTTTTGATATTTATTTTTATAAACACCTAATCTTTTACACTTTCACAAATTTTATTAACGTTATTTATTTATTTGAATTTTATTTATTTGAGCTAACATCCTCCAGTCCCCCGTAGGGTAAAGTGCGCAAATGTAGCTTTTAAGAGATTTTAATTTATCTATTGACCGAATTCTCGCCTAAGTGCAGGGCAAATTAAGACTTTGAGATTTTTACTCTCTAATTTTAACTACTAACCGAGCTCTCGCCTAAGTGCAGGGCAAATTAGAACTTTGAGAATCTCGACTCGTAGACAGTATTAACAACTAATACGTGGCCTGCCGGTTAAACCGTGTCTGAACTCGTCTTAAGTGCAGCGCAAATTAAGATAAGGGACTTATACAAAGCACGGGTCCGTCAATTTAAACGCGGAAGTCAAATTAACTAACTAAGACAAGGCGTTGGCTGTTGATCGCCTTTTTAAAACCTCGCGCTGCTGAGTTTGCAGAAGTCCCCGCTAGTCAACCAGCAGTCGCGTAAGTTCTATTTTATTGTAACTTTCGCCCATGGAGAAGTCTTTTCTCACCTCCGGGCGGAAAGCGTCAATTTTCCTTCCGCTGCGCTGAACAAAAATGCCGCTTTCCGCCTCCGTCGAGAAGGAATAGTATATATATTACACACCGAGGGAAGTAAAGCAAGAAATCTCGGCTTCGCCTCGGCCAACAATTACATGTGATCTGAGGCTTTCTTATTTACTTCCCGAGGAGTGTATGCTATTTTTTTGCTCGACGAAGGCAGAAAGTGGCAATTTTGTTTAGCGCAGCGGGCCGAAATTTGACGCTTTCTGCCCGTCGAGCAAAAAAATAGTATACATACCACGGGCAGTAAATAAGAAAGCCTCAGATCACATGTTTATTGACCTCGACTTTGCCTCGGACAACAATTACATGTGATCTGAGACATTTCTTATTTTACTGCCCTAAATATGTAATATACTATTCATCTGTGCGGACGATTTAAATTTAAAGAAAGAGAAAAGAAAAAAAATGTGGGTGGACATAACAATACCTAAGCGCTCAGTATTTCACTTATTGTGTTTTTGAGCTCTTCGAGCTCAAAAATGTCATTTTTGTGTCAACTTGAGCTCTTCTAGCTCAAAGAGATAGTTATTCTATGCTTCTGAGCTCTTCAAGCTCAAAAGTCTGTTAGAAGTTTGATAAAACACTATTTTTGAAATTTTCAAACCGCAATAACTTTTGAATGAATGAACCGATTTTTTCGTGATTGGCGGCATTCAACGCAGTTCTTGAATCCTCATTAAGGATTCTTAAGCTTAAATTGATCGAACGAGTTTCGAAGTAAATCTGAAAAAACACTTTTTAACTTCTCGCTAAAAAATTTGAAAATTTTCAAAAATCGGGAATATTGTTTCTAACCCGTTGTTTCTCGATTTTTCGAAAATCGAGTTTTCATCAGATCTCGACGTTTCGAGGTCCTACGAAGTTTGCCTGACTATTCCCGCGATAGTGTCGGTATGTATGTATGTGTGTATGTATGTATGTATGTATGTATGTATGTATGTATGTATGTATGTATGTATGTATGTATGTATGTATGTATGTATGTATGTATGTATGTATGTTTTTTTTGTTTTTTTCCCTTTAGGGGGGGGAATCCTTTTTACGGATTCTAGGCATAGATGTTGGCCCGGATATGTGGCGACTCGACGTAGCGTCATACTAAAACTTGACGCTGACGCCCTACCCACTAAACCCCTAAACCCCTTTCCTCTAATCCCTCATGGAAACCGCCGTCAGGCATTACTTCGTGAGGGGAGGATCTAGCTACTGCTCTTCCTTCTGGTGGCTAAGGTGTTAACTACCTTCCTATATGTATGAGTCCATATATGATCAGATCTGATCATATATAAGTCTATATATAATTAGATCTGATCATATATTCCCGCGATGGTGTCTGTATGTCTGCATGTGTGTGTGTGTGAGTGTGTGTGTGTGTGTGTGTGTGGGGGTGTGTGTGTGTGTGTGTGTGTGTGTGT